TATTATACACAGTATATATCAGGTATAGACAACCTCGGCACTGCAACTGTGATAAAGCCACTAATCCCATCATGCCTCTGGGAGAGTTATGCCTGTGGTTGCCAGAGTCTTGCAATACCTCATGGGACTTGTAGTTTAAAACAGCTGGAGTGCCCTGGTTGGAGGGTGCATCACCCTGGTTTCTCACCTACGCATGTTAAGGGGCCCCAGGGTTTGTACCTGCTGTGGAGGGAACAAACATTTTACTTTCTCCGAATCTTGACAAGTCCTGGTCTGGATCTTGGAGCCTGGAGGCTCTGTTGAGCTTTGGCTCTACAAAGCATGCCTGCACTGAGGCTGGGTTCACACCATTTTCCGGACCAGATCTGGAACATAGTGCATTGCATTTTTGCTGCGTGTTTACCGCGATTTTGCCACGATTGGAAATTGTTTTATATATTTTTTTAGCTTAAAATGATCTTACAGGTGCGTTCCAGTGTGTTCCAGTACATTACAGACCAGACAAAATAGGACAAGCAGTATTTTTCTGGTCTGGTCTGGAACGGACTGCGCTGGTGGAAACAGAGGCCAGAAATAACATAGGGTTACATTGGGATGCTTTTTGGGTCCGGAAACAGTCTGGCCTGGTCTGGAGGTAATCCGGATGAGGTGTGAGTGGGCCCTGAAACTATGCCTTGCTGAAATAAAGTGCAAGGACAAACACACTTTACTATTTCTGGGTGTCCTCACCTCGCGCATGGTTTACTGCTGCCAGTTGAGCCTGTCCCCCGTACATTATAACTTGGTCAAGTTGAAAATAAGACACAATTACATAGAGTTCAACCTATAAAGATAAGAGAAAAACAAAACCTAAAATAGACCGCTATGCCCACAGTTCATCCAGAGGATTTATCAGGGGTGAATAAATTATTATGGAATTCAGCAGCCAGTATGTGCAACAGTGCTGGCAACAAGCTTTACAAATATCCAACTAGACCAATTGTTTTCATTTTTTGAATGAAGTGGAGGAAGTGTTAGAACCACTGTCAAGTTTAAATGCTCTCTGCGTCCCACTGGGAAGGTTCCTCCTCAGTTCATGTTCTGTCTCACACCCGTCATCTATGCAGGATGGGAAGTGAAATTTCCCTAATGGAGACACAGCAATAAAATCTAGAGAGAGGTTTTAAATCTTTTCCGCTCTACTAGCAAAAATATTTCTATTCTTGTCTGTGTGACTGGCGAGAAAATTTCCCTCGCCTCCTGTTCTGATTGACATTGATCAAATCGATAAGAAATAAAATATTTTCCAAAGGAGGTTAGATGCACCACTCAAAAGTGGTGGGAGTAGGTCTAAGAAATTTTAGTTGGAGGCTTCAAG